ATGGAATTGATGAGGGTGAGGGGATATCCGTTTTCTAATAAAGTTTTAGTTACTAATGTTGTGTTTTGGGTATGAAAAGAAGAGTGAGACAACATGATTGCGTGGTCTATCAAAGAAATGATTGTATTGACTTTATAATTTTTGGGACAATATGACGCGTAATGAAGGTATCTCCCGGACCATGTAGTTTTTCTGTACCAATTTGTGCAAATAATGTTGTCAATTTTGTGTACAGTCACGTCTAAAAAGTTTAATTTGTTGTCGATTTGTGTTTCATGTGTGAACTGAATGCTCTTATCGATACCTTTAACAATTACAATAAGAGCATTCAGTTCACACATGAAACACAAATCGACAACAAATTAAACTTTTTAGACGTGACTGTACACAAAATTGACAACATTATTTGCACAAATTGGTACAGAAAAACTACATGGTCCGGGAGATACCTTCATTACGCGTCATATTGTCCCAAAAATTATAAAGTCAATACAATCATTTCTTTGATAGACCACGCAATCATGTTGTCTCACTCTTCTTTTCATACCCAAAACACAACATTAGTAACTAAAACTTTATTAGAAAACGGATATCCCCTCACCCTCATCAATTCCATTACCAATAAAAGACTTTCCTATCATAAAAGTAACAATTATCAATCCATCTCCAAGTTATTCCAAGACAACAATATTAAACCAACTTTTCACAGCATGCCTTACATTGAAGGCTTATTTGATTATTTTGCCAAATTACTCAAAGAAGAAAATATTTTCATTTCAGGAACAGCTCTATATTCTTTTAAAGAAATGTTTTCAAAAATTAAATCCACCACCCCTCCTAAATTCAATACTAACATAGTTTATTCCATCCCTTGCAAAAATTGTCAAAAACAATACATTGGCCAAACATCACAGTACATTCATAAGAGAATGAGACAACATGAATTAAGCGTCACTCATCATAAAAGCCGAAATTTCCAAAGTACTCTTGTTCAGCATTCCATCGAAAACTCACATAATTTCACCTTTGAACCCAATATTTTATATAGAGAGGATTGTACTTTTAAAAGACTTTTTTCTGAAAGCAGTTTAATCTTTTTGAATTCGTCAAAAAGTGTTAATAAAAGATCAGATCACAATATCATTCATGACTCATATTTAAATTTTTTAAACCTGATTAAAAATAATTAATCCTAATAGTTTTTGAATATGTGTATATATATACATGTATATATGTTATAATATATGTACATCCATATATATGCTTATATGTATGTTTTTGGGTATACACTATACACATACACTTGCATATGTGTTCATGTGTATAATTGTGGATACATTAATATATAGATATGTGCATATGTATGTATGAGTATGTAGGTGTGCATATACATGTTCATGTATGTATGTATATATATATATATATATATATATATATATATATACATAATATTTCTCAACATTTACTAAAGCAATATTTTTCCTTTTTTCGTAAATTACCAAACAAGAGCCATAAAAAATCATTTTTGCCAAGAGTTCCGTGCTTTGTCCTTTACATCTGGCAGACAGAAATCCATATCAGTGTGTTTAAGTCTTGTGTAGTCGTAACATCTACAAATATCTTCCAAAAAAATCGAGTGTTTTTAACAAAAAAATATTAGTGATATGGATATATAAATTATTACAGGTAAATAATTTTTGCTTCTCAATTTTATATAAAACCTTTTTTAGTTAAGTCTTATTACTATCTATCCGGTACATAATCCATTCCTTTATAACAAAATTTTTTTCTAATTAATCTGTATTGACCATTGTTAATTAATGTTAATCAGTATTTTAAAAAACATTGTATTTGACAGAATAAACCTGATGATGGAACGTACCTAGTTCCGAAACGTCGTATTAAACATCTTCAAAAAACAAATTGTTTTTTATTATTGGATTTACTGTTCGGAAAAGAAACAATCAATATATATATATATATACGAGGTGTGTTCAAAAAGTACCCGGAATTACTAATAATTAAATTTCGCGGGTCTGGAGTGTCTGATTGTCAAAAATTTTTTTTTATTGTGTTGGTATACATGCCCCTAAAGTATGATGAAATTTTCAGCTATATTCACTGTTTACTTTGTCTGTGGTAGTCGCTAAGGTTCGACGTGTTTTTCTGAGCTCGGCGATTTTTACAATGGAAGAATTGAAAAGTCAAAGAATTTGTATTAAATCTTGCGTAAAAAATGAAATAAAGTGTTGCAAAGTGCAAAAATTCACCAGATATGGCTCCGTGTGACTTTTTCCTATTCCCAAAGTTGAAGAGACCCATGAAAGGACGGCGGTTTTCCTCGATTGAAGAAAATCGCTGAGAGTGCTCAAGGACATATCAAAAAGTGAATATCAAGGGTGCTTCGAAAATTGGAAAAAACGCTGGCATAAGTGTATTATATCTGGGGGGGACTACTTTGAAGGGGACCACATTAATGTAGACGAATAAATAAATATTTTTTTGAAAAAACGAAAATTCCGGGTACTTTTTGAACAGACCTCGTATATTGGTGCTATTACAATAAGTTAGAAGTATGGAACATGTTTTTAATTTTTTCAATACTTATATTTTTATGTTTTGTATTTACTTGTTTTGTACTTTTGTTTTGTACTTTATCAGAAATTCTTTTATAAATGGTCAGGGTAGAATTCTCTTTTCAGATTGTTGAGGTGATTTTTTTCGATTTGGAGTATGGTGCCAACAAAAGTAGTTTTGTTTATAAGTAACGTTTTTGCAAGTAAAATAATCGTAATGGAACTTATTAATGAAAAACAAACTCTTTTTAAGAGTTAAAAACTGTATTAAAATCTGATTATTCATAAAAGTTGGCATGTCGTGACAATCCTCGGATTTCATCTTTTCCCAAGACCGAAAAACCGTTTACCGTTTGTAACAAACTTGACTATTCTCTATAAATTTTTCCCATATTTTTTAAATCCATGCAAATTCCGTATTAGATATAATTTCGATTCCTATAAATACTTTTCAATATAAATTACATAATTACCTTTGCGGATCAGTTTTTCTGGCAAAAACTGTTGAACCATTCTTTGAGTCAAATTGGCTCACGCCGTGAAAATAAGTATACCACGATCGAGAATTCGAAATAAAGGGGTTTGCGAGGTATTGAATAGAACGTTTACATGTACTTCATTACTCCACTAAAATCCAATGTATGTTGTAAAAAGTAATATTGAATTATATTAATATATAAAAGTATGAAAATATATTTAAGATTTATATGTGTACATTCATCAAAATTTTATTGTGTCAAATGGGCTTAATAATTTCGGAACTCTAAAAGTGTTAAATACAGAGGGCCGGCCATAGATTCAGCAATTATTCGAAATTATTTTATTACTATTATTTAGTTATTTCTCTATATTTTAGAAGTGTTGTTCAATATAGGTATTGAGATAATAATTTTGATTGAAATTTTTAATTATAAAAGGACTACGTACATATTACAATTAATTTATTATGTGATTTGAGAAAAATACCATCGGTTCAGAAATTAAACATTTAGAACTTGCACATTTGCCCAAACATAAAATACTTATGGTATCCGAAACAGCAACCAAAACAAATTGATTATACATTCTTCGAATGGAATCATTGACTTTTTAGTCAGGATGTATATCATTTATTTATCGGCAATGTACTTTCTCGAATATATTTATTGCTTATTTTATAAATTATCTGTCATTTAATAACTTCCCGAAGGGTAAGTTAAGTAATCTCAACAAATCGAAAATGAAAATTTTCAGTAAAGTCGAATTATTTCAAAATTTTCTTTAAAAATAAAAAAAATCCAAATTTTCAAAAAAGCTATTTTCAAAATTTAAAAAAAAAATAATTAGCGTACGGTACGGTACGAAAAGTTCCAAAAATTTATCTTAAAACATCATGTCATGCACCATTATTTATATTATAATTACTCACAAATCAGCCTATTATAAAATAATAAGACCAATAATATATCATCGATCATATAACGATTATATTAATTTGAGTTTATCCTAAAAATAGGGCTTTATTTAAAAAATATTTATGCTATATAGCATACACATAGTATGTGCTAATATTATACGTTTGAAATAGAGTATGCTAAGAATCTGATAAATTATTATGTTTTTGTTATTAAAGACTTCCACATTTTCAATTAATATATTCATTTGAACTTATAGTCTTAATACATTGCATTTTAAAGATTTACATTATATTTCTTTTAGTATGTGATATTCGTCTTGACTTCCTGTGGTCCTACACTCGTGTTTTGATTGCAAATGACTAGAGTCGTCACGTACTTGTTGGAAATATCATTGAAGACCATAATACTCCATTGTCTAAATAAAATCATTTACCAGCATTCATTTAATTCATTGACTTAAGTGAAATAAAATAGTATTTGGCATACTTATGTTGTCAAATAACAGTAACAGTTATAAAATAATGCAAAATATGTTAATTAAATTTTGGTTTTATCAGCGACAATCATCGGATGTTTTATAATTGCCCGTATAAAGCAGATGGTATGCCAATATGTGGATCCTGTTTATATTTATATTTTCGCATTTGTTATAACTATTATTGTAAACAGAGGATTTCAATTCTGGAAATATCTTTATGATTAATTATGGCATTGAGATAATTTGCAAACATTTTTAAGGTAGGCGTTTTAATGTGATCATGCGTCTTGCCAACGCTGTCATGATATGCTATTATTATTGAAATGAATTTACATACCGAATGCTAAATATATTTATCAATAAATAATTTGTCCGGCAGTCATAAAACGTACATCGAGTTGTGGGCATCGAGAATTTTTACATTTTTTAAAATATGGACTATTTTATATTGACGTGAGTGAGTTAATAGAGTGATAATAAATAACATTTGTAAGATTAGCAATATTTTTTGTGTTATGTGTTTTGTGCTTTAACAATGATTTATGACATTTTGTCATTGATATTCCAGCGCTGAAAGTGAAGCTATTGATGCGGAGGCCAATCAACCAATTAGTGGCTCAGGGGATAATGCCTCGTAAGTCAATATTTTTTATATATATATATATATATATATATATATATATTTACTATGTAAATAATAGTACACTACAGTCTTTTAATTACACTAACTTCATTAACACTGTTCAAATTGACCGTTTGTAAACTTTTTGTAAAACAATATATCTTAAAAGTGCTATAATACTGTTATGAGACTATATGATAATTATCCGAATGCGCATATATTATTTTCTTCCCACTTCACTACTAGTGATTTTTTCTTTTTTCTCAAAAAAAAGTTGATCTATTGCTACCCTATCAATAAGACCGCGGTAGGAATAGCTATCGATAGTTTTAGTCTAAAGTTATAAGTAACTGACGTTTCTTGATTTTTCATAGAGAAAAATATAACGAACAATATTGATACATTTTATAAATAAATAGTAACTTGAAAGTATGTTTAATTGTTAATTGCTAAGAACTAATTATACCAAACTTGAGAAAGGTAAATATAGAACTTTCGCTCTAACTTTTTAAGTTTTTTTATAAGTTATTCGCATTTCGAGGCAGTCATCAAGTAGTACTAGTAGATGAGACTAGGTACGGCTGTGCCAGGATACAGTAGTGATAGTCGTTATAAAAGCTAACTGAATGCTGATTTTGAGAATGGGTTCAAAGCGAGAAAGACGAAGTATTTTTGTTGGAACAAGTTTACATTATTGCAATGAGTCAGTTCCTTACATTAACACGATCTGTAGTTTTTGAAAGTCAAAAGTAAGTTTTTATGATCGATTTCTTATATTTTGAACATTATTTATCAATTAGCAGCAATTAGATTTGTTTCATGTGACATGTATAGTGAACAAAAATAAAACAGTTAAAGAAAAATACAACTTAACTAAAGCAAAATACGAAAGAGAAAGAGAAGCGAAAATTTCGTACAAAAAAACAAGATATTTTACAAAGATTTATTGTTTAAAAAAATATATTTATTGTATTGTTATATTATATTTATAAGCTTTGTTTAAATGATTATGTTGTATTGTGCTACATATTTCTAACCTTAAATGTCGCTATAAACCATTTCGATGTTTATAGCTGTTGTTTTTGAATCTATTATTTTTTTACCTGTCACAACCGTTCTGGAGCTGTGTGCGGTTGGGCCACTCGCCCTTTTATTGTGTGGTTGATTTTATGACTAATCCATCGTATTCAAAGACTGTATTTCTGTATTTCTACTTAGACAAATGTTCAATTTACCAATTAATTTACTTTTCTCCCGGCTAACTGGTAAATTAACAATGTTATGGATGATCAAGAGAAAGTGCCCCTCTTACTATTAAAAACCTTTGCAACAAAAGTTTTTCTTGCTTCAATAAAGTTAGCTGCAAAAAGGGAGAGTGGTGTGTTTTCTTATACATAGCCTAAATAATTCTTTATATAAAAATAAATATAAATATTTGATATACTCCTCAATTGGCTTATTCTCAAATAAGCTTTTTCACAAACCACACCTGCTATAATTTCATTCTTTGTTAAATATAAAGTTTAGGAAATGTTAAAAAAATCAAGTTGATTAAATATACCCTTACGAGACTGCTGAACCCATTTACACAACTTTCTTGTTCTTGCTCTCTTATACTTCAGTAAATTTATAGTGATATAACAGAGTAGTAAGCTAATTCGAGAATTGGTGTGACTGTGGTATATTACATTGTGAAATTGTATTTATCAAAATACTTCCGGTTCTTAGAAAATATATATCAAGCACATAATTAGAAAATTATTGAATTATAAATTACTTACTTGATTAGTAGTTGCACGTAAAGTAAGAATTTGAAATGAGTAATGCTAAGAATTATATTTTATACGCTTACATCTTTATTTATAAAAGAACTGTGCTAGTATCTGGCTTCTTTTCGTTGTTCATACGGTCTCTGTCAGTTTTAAATGCGACGAAAACAGATATTTTTCAGTCAAGGCCGATGGCAAATAAAAACGTAAAGCATAATAGTTTTTTGAAGAAAAACTAAACACGAAAATCTATTAAAAAGAATTCTTATACATATCGCATCTTGAAGCAGACGTAAATCTAGGAAAGCTATAACATTTTACTTAGATTTTATTAGAAAAAAATGGAAACAGCATATTTGTTTATGACAACTGATTATATTTTCTTTTTTTGTTAACAAACATAATTAATTTAACATATGTTTCAAATTAAGATTTTTTTGTCTAGACTTTTAAAGATAGTTGCCAACCTACTTGCGAATACTTGTTGACACTAGACATGCGAAATTGTCATTTATTTTTACAATGTTAAAAAAAATCATTTATATGTGCATCATGTCGAAAATACGAATCATTAATCTTCTCTAATAATGGAAAATCGCAATCTTACGAAATATACTTTTACATTCATTAAGACTTCTGTATCACTCATAAATAGTGTAAAACTGATTCGTAAGTTATCATGATAATTAATATACTTAAGCGTTTAATATTTTATTTGTATATAATCTTTTGTGCAAAATAATCTCAAAAATTTAGTATTTATTTAAATATAAGATTTCAACTAATATAACTAATGATAGAATTTTTAAAATTTTCTGATGAATTTTATCTAACTATATTGACCTATTTTTGATAAGATATCTGATGTATGATATTTTCTATTACAATTGTCTTATGCATACCCTGTCCACTATGTACTAAAGATCCTTTCTCGTAAAATGTTTTTCTCCATTTAATTATTTAAGAACTGAATCGACCTTGAACCATCACCAGAACTTATATCGCGGTTTATTGTATACGTTACGCAATAAACACGTTGCCTGATGTACGCCTGATTCAGCCTAGTAAACTGTCGGGAGATGTACCATACATTGGGATCTGTCAAGAGCAACTCTAAAGTTATATCGTTCCGTGTTTTTGGCTGTTCGTTTTATGCGGCAAAGCTGATGCATAGCATCATTGCCAAACAATTCTTATATAATTATTATTTTGTCATCATTTATATCTATAGTTAATAATAGTTTCCGCCACCATGTGGTAACATCAGACTTACTCATTCGCTAGCCATTGAATGAATTCGTTACACGTGCTTGCATTTATCTTTATTTACCAACAATTTATAAACTAATTAATTGGGCACTAATTACGCATCTTTCATTATAAATGCATAATTACACAAAAAAAAAATAATTTAACAATCGTATGGAAAGGCTCTTAAGATTCAAACAAAGGTCTAATGCACTGTCATTTATTCAATTTCTTGTTTCCTACATATAATAATAAATAATTTTCTTTGCTAATTATATTATTTTTCTATCTGCGATATAAAAGCTACTATTTGCAAGTATTCTGAAAAGGATTTAATAAGTTTATCATTATTTCATTTTGATCTATAAATAACAATACACGATTACTTAGATTGAGCAAAACATTCGTATGTTGATTCGTAGAATAAACAGTACAATACATTGCATGTGTTTCTTTTGAAATAGCACATTTGGCGCATGTGTGATTAATGAGTTGGAGCATTGTTATTTTAGCTTACAATTCAGAAATCCATTAATCCATCGCCATTTACTGTAAAATTAATGCAAATGATTTCAAATTAAAATTACTATAAATTATTTTCTGTTTGTATTATTATTAATAATTGTTATAAGAAAAATTATATCCCTGGAAATAATTCTAATTATTGCTGTTTCAGCGCTTAAGACACCGCCGGCTTTCCATGAACAACGCAAGCAACTAGAACGTGCAAAAACAGGAGATCTATTGAAGGCAAAAATTCAACAACGACCAGATCGCCAAGAGTTAGAACGACGACATATATTAGAACAACAAGAAGGTCACGTGGATCCTAGTCTCGCTGAACGTCAGCGCATGTTAAAGAAAGCAAGGCTGGCTGACCAGCTTAATGATCAGTTGTCACATCGTCCAGGTCCATTAGAGTTAATTAAAAAGAATATATTACATACTGATGAACCAATAGAGCGCGCCGTTAAAGAAGGACTGGTTCCTTTTCGCGCCACATGTGAAGGACAATTAAATAGGCCGCAGCATCCAAGCAGTTATGTCACATACGAAGATGATTCTCAGAGTTCAGAAGGCGGTGTTGATACGAGAAGTACACCGCCGCGTTCTACGGAATCTAAGCCTATAGTCCATGTGACTAAGGCAGCCACTCCAGCGCCTTTACCAACTGCAAGTTTCACATTTGCTGAATTGTGTCAAAGTGTTGTTTGTGGAAATACCACAACTCCCACATTTCTTCCGTTAGCCGCAAGTCCCGCATCAAGTTTGAGTCCTTTGTCATCAATTTCATCGCCTCCGTCGACTCATTCCACTGCTTCTGTCACACCTAGGCCTACAGCACCATCACCATTGCAGCCAGCTCAATTGAAAACCGATGCTCCAGGCAAAGATAAAAATAGAAAAAAAAGTAAAAGTAGCAAATCTTTACCAAAAGCCAGAACTATTAAATTTCATGAATACAAAGGACCGCCAAGCGCTCAGAAAAACACTGCTTTAGGAGCAGCGGCGGCAGCTGGGGAAACTTCTTATGAGTTATTACTACAACAACAACAATTATTCTTACAATGGCAATTGGAATGGCAGCATAAGTATCCACAAATTATATTGCCTGCCAACCAAAAGCCTATTACTATTAACTCAAGCGAGCCTGTAACAATAGCAAGTCCTCAAAATGTAACTGTCGCTGTATCCTCTCCATCTTCTTCATCTCCTCCTACGATTAACAATGGAAATAATTCAGATATATTTATGAAACCTCTTGGTAAATTAGAAGATATGAAAGTATCTGATTTGAAAATTGAACTCAAGAAAAGAAATCTTCCTGTATCCGGTTCGAAACCACAGCTGATCGAAAGGCTAAAACCTCATATTATGATATCGGAGTCCGATTCTGGAAGTGTAGATACCCCAGCACCACCTAGTGTATCAAGCGAAGAATCTCTACATGGAGATTTTAGCGAAGAAGTTGGAGTCAATTCGCCTCGCAACTCATTATCACCTGCATCGGATCACGAAGCAATGGATTTACAAGCTGATTCACCTGGATCAATGTGCGGGAGACAAACTCCGGCACCTGATGAAATAGTGAAAGAGCAACAGAGAAAAATTGAGGAGTTGAAGCGAGAACTTCATAAATCGCAATTGCAGGTACAGCAAATGCGACAAGCTCCTACTAATAGTTCTCAAGAACCTAAAAATCAAAAATTAGCATTACAACAGCATTTACATAATAAAATGAAATCCCAAAAAATATCGATGCATCTCCAGCAATTGCAAAATTTGCAAGCACAGCAAACAAAGCAACATCAAGAAAATCAGCAAAAGCAACAGAAGGAGCACGTAGCATTTCAACAAGGTTTAAGTGCAAAAAATCAAGCAAATTTGTTAATGGTTCAAAAGCCTATTCAGATCAATGGATTTAATATTGGAACTATAATGGCCACACCAAAAACTGACAATTCAACAACGATAGTGAATGGTTTACAAACAGTAAAAGGCAAAAAAAATCTTGGAATAGTTTTGAACAAACAACAAGCTGTCTTAGTACTGAACAAGTTAGCCAAAGGAAAATTGATGAATGAACATCACAGAACTGCATCATTGCCAACAATTTTAGTACCAGCAAATTTATTGACATCAGAACAAACAAATGTAATATCATCTCCACAAAATATTTCAAATGAAATAAATTTAGCGCATGATGATATGCCTACGATTACAATTGAACCAAAAATAGAGCCTGAATCAAATGAAGTTCTTGATATAAAATCTCCACCTCAGTATGAAATCGCTACGAGTCAGCTGAAAAAACCTCAAAGTAAAAGTCATATTAAATCACAGATAGTTGATGATGTTCTCGAAATATTAATTAAAAATGGAGAACTTCCTCCAAGTGCTGCCCAGGACCCAGCTACTCCAACCACACCCGGAACTGCTGTTTTAAATAATGGCCTTGTTTACCAAAACTCGAGCCTTATTCCTCCACCGCCTCCATTGCCCTACACTGCTTCAAATGCAAATATTTTAACACCTGACGTAACAAATCAAATGGACAATTGCACTCGTTTGCTGCAGGATATTGCTTCAGCGGAGCATTTGGATCATGATCAATTTGACCAAGATCAGAAAGTAGTTTCTGACTTGCTATTAGAACAACAAAACGAGGAGGGACATTTAGATTTAAAAGCATTAGGCTTAGATTTAGAAACATTTGATTGTTTGGACTTTGGTTCATTAGACTGTGATAAATTAGAATCGGAACTGGATATGGAAATTGGAATGGATGGAGTACAAAATCAGGACAATAGTAATATGGACTCATATGTGAATGAATTTGTTGAACAAAATGTAATCGAAAATAATACCAGCATGCAAGAAGAAAATGTAGGACCTCAATCTGTGGATATGTTACAAAATAATATTTCATTAACAAATCGATACAATCAAAGTTTATCGAACAATAATGTTTGTAATAATGGATTTGGTGCTGTTTTTCCTCCAGAGTTTATGGATATAGGAGATACGCCTATGGAGATGGATGAATGGCTTGACTCACTTATTCCTGTTTCTGAACTTCATGACAATAACACCATGTCAACTCCTCCACATCAATATTTTGTTACGCAGCAACATATGCCAATATCGATGGCTACTTCGCAAAATGCAGATTTATCTACTTATGATCCACTACTTGGTACAAACAGTGGAGCATTCGATCTGTTAGGTATTGAAGATCTGAAAATGCACAGTACGCCATTGTCATGGGATAAGGTAGATTTTGCTACATAGTTAGATCATTACTTAAATGGTAATTATAATACTATTATGCTAATATAAATCAACCCTCACGAAGTGCCTTGGGTTTTATATATGACGTTGGAATGAGATTAGAAACTAGTTTTAAGTTTATTTAAATTTGAAATATAATTTCAAGATAGCCAATCACCTTCGAACGATGTTGTACTTAATAAATGATAATGAAGCTTCCATTATTTTAGCTCATAAGTTATAATAGTAAGTGTTACTGTGTGCAGCTCTTTAATTGAAAGTGATCTTTTAAGACTTATAATTAGGTTAGATATATAGAGAACAAGCGTTTTATTTTTGTTTGTGCATTGTGTGGTATAGAAATCTAATTTTTTTAACTAATAAATATTGAAAGAATATGTAGATGGAATCGTGTGTCGCTGCATTCCTATCTTCTGCTAAAACGACCAGGATATTATTAAAAGTCCCGATTTTTGTTTATGTAATATATGTGTATATTAAATTATTGAATTATAGTTGACTCAAGGTTAGCATTTGCCATTGCTAGTTGTATGTGACATTCCAAGAAAAAATATGGTTGTTTCTGTAGGCCAATATTAATTGTATATTGCAGAAAAGGCAAAAATAATGATATTATCTTACAGTAATGATGCCATAGACCATACGGTTCGGGACCAGCAAGGCGTTGTTAACACTTAGGGTCGGGATCAAATGTACTGAATCAATTAACATTTTTAACATGCGAATACGCGGTGCCTAATTTTAGTTATAATCTTAATTTAACGGGCTTGCCTTAAATATAAGATTTTCTTGATATAGTTTAAAAATCATATAAACTTTATATAGTTTATAAATAAAATTATATTTTAATAAATATTTATTTGACATAGCATATTTATTCTTTTTTGATAAAATCGATAATATGATATATCCATGGAAACAGAATGCAAATCCAAGCGATTAAATATCATTAGGCATTTATAAATTGCACAACTTATGTGGATAGTATACTAAATTGATGAATATTTTTATATATAACTGTATGTATTATGTAAAGCATCGATTACATCACTGATGATAGAAAAATATTTTTATTAGAGTAATAAAAATTGTAATAAAATTAAATGAATTCTAAATTAAATATGTAATTGCCATTATCTCAATAGAGCATAAATCCTGATGACTATTTCCATTTTGTGTATGGACGTTATAATAAAATTTAGAAATGTATAAATAAAATGAAATAATACAAATTTTAATAATGTCTTATTAATTCAATTAATCGCATTTATAATTACCTCTATTTTTTATTATTTATTTATTTATTTATTTTATTTATTTATTTATTTCGGATATAATATAATGATCAATTCTTACTAATTTAGAAAATTTCACTGTTCACATTTCTTGAATTCAAAAATTTGTACCTATTTGTATTTTTTATTAGGGGTTACTAAGACTTTGTAGAATAACTTCTACAAATTTAAGAAATACAATTCATAACACCATTAAAGTTGGTACTTGTTTTAAATTTTATCTTTCGTATTTTGAGTTATGTGGAAGATATATCAGCCTAATACTGCGCTACTTTATTGTTTCAGTCTCCGCTTTCTATCTTAAAAAGATGTAAATAATCTGGTTTAAAATTTCTGATCCATTTATTACTTTTGAGCTCTTGTACATACAAAATATTTTTTTCAGATCCAAAATTCTATAGATTTTTTACATTTTGCTGGTTTTCCAATTTTTTGTTTCCAGAATGTTGGTCGTATAAATATTTAGTTGCAATGCTGAAATGGTAGACTTTTTTGTAATATTAGTTATACATTATTTTAACCAGTTAACCGTGGTGCGCTCATGGTACTGTGCGTACTGTTTTTTGTCCTCACAACCGAAGTAAAGTGCTGTTTTGAACTATTATTTTTTAATCTGCATAACAATATTCTAAATATCTAGAACAAATTTTCAAATGTTTTGGTTTTTCTTTTCAAATTGCAATTTTAATATACAATGTTTGATTCTATACATGACGAGAATACTCATCCATACAAATCATCACTACCACTTCTCCATAACGAGTGTACTCGTCAATCATAGTTAACTGATGGTTAATAACGTTTTTTTTTAAATTTTTATATGTAAATACACTATCATAAGATGGTTGAAATGTATTGTATAAGCGTACTAATTTTTCACATTTTACTACTGCATGACACAGGATTACCGAGTATAGAGTAATTTGCAATATTTTATTACCATGATCATGGGACGTATACATACGTCCCCGTTTGTCTGGGACAGTCCCGGATTTTTACCTTGTGTCCCGGGTTGTCTAAAAGCAATATTTGTCCCAGATTTCTTTCTTTTATCCTGGATTGTCCCGAGTTTTTAAAAATATAGGTTTGAACTAAATTTTTGCAATTACTTGATAACAAAATTACAAATATTCATCAAATATCTGAAATTGATGTAAACAACGAGTATGCTTATAGAAAATATATAAGAAATAGATTATGAATGAGAAACATTCCGGATGCAAAATACTAAAGTGCTAAAATAGCATTTCGCATTGATAATTTCGGACTTTCAATTTCAATTTTACGAAAATTAGTAACTTTCGTCCTTCCTTTTCAATTTTTCGAAAATTTGCTACCCTCGCCTGTCTCGGATTAGCACAACTACAAGTTGCCGCCCCGGTTTTGACCAAAAAAGAATATGGCCACCTTACTTAAGAGTCATCTATCGGTTTTACAGATAGCAATCCAAACTTGTCTCATCTCTGTGTGATAAATTTTAATATTTCATTTTCTGTAATATGGCGCATATTTTATTAATGCAGCATTGCCGGATGAGTACTATTTTCACTTGGAAACATATTGCTATCTAAATTTCCAAGTGAAAATGTCACTACTGCTTGACATCAGGCTCCTCGAAGCGGGATCGAACTCGGGACCTCTGATTGTGTTCCGGTCGCTCTAGCCACTTACCGACGAGTGGCAGGTTGGTCCTAATTTTCAATATAAAAAATGTCATGTTTACAACATATTTTGTTGTATTTTTTATATGACAAAAGATCATTAAGTCCTTTACGGGCGGATGTTTCTTTTACGTAATAGTCTTGTCTATTGCTTGTGTTTTGAGATATAAATAGTTCAAATGGTACGTCATTAAATGACCACGCCGTGACGCTACAACTCATCTGCAAATTTAATTTATTTATATTAATCTGACTCATTCTAGTATTTTTAAGTTATTTGGCACCTTCGGATTATATGCTAGATTTTTGTAAAAATATTCTACGTTGTTCACAATAATATGAAGAAAGATAAAATTAGATTACGCGTAAAATTATTTTTACGTGTACTTATTAGAAAAAAAACTTTAAAACACTTCAATAAACGTTGAAAAACGTTTAAACTACTTTAAACGTTTAGAATAATTAGAATTTTTTAAATATAAATTATTTGCATTGAAATTATATGATGTTTTAATATCACTACTATTTTATGTAAGTACAATTTCTGTAATAGGGCGCGTATTTTTATTGGTGCAGCAATGCCGAATGAAGGCTATTTTGACTTGGAAACATATTGCTATCTATATTTCTAAGTGAAAATTGTTGTCACTGCTGCCTGACAACAGGCTGCTCGAAACGGGTATCGAACCCACGGGCGAGCCCAATCAAAATTAAAACTAGTTGGTATTGGTATTTTTCCTTGAGGCAAGTTACAATAACTTCTCGATATGTGTAAATAATCGACTTAATCAAAAAATAAATAAATTTATGAGTGACCATGATATATATCGCCAATAAAAGTTCCATAAAAATCGGCTTAATTTTGTTTTTCAACAGTTAATTACAAGAAACCGGCTCGGTAGATTTTCACCTAAAACTAATCAGTATCATTACCAGCTAATATCTTTCGAACAGTTTTTAATTTTTTAAAATCGTTTTAGTAGTGTGAGCTTAAATGTAGACGAAAAGTTTTACACGTTATTCCAAATTTCAAAGAAACGGCTCGGCAGATCGTCGCACAAAACTGACAAACGATAATCCTCATCGAGATACATCAAATGGTTTTTAAATTTCTGAAATTGGTTCAGGCTCGTTTGAGCAAACGTCGATGAAAGGTCTAATTTTGACAAATGTCAAAAAAACAATACTAATTTTTGCAAACTTTGACGAATTTTCAAAATTAAATGACTTATCGTAGGGCCGTAATATTTTAGTATGACCTAGAAGACCATGATGTCTATCACAAAAAAATATCATAAAAATCGTCAAAAAAATTTTTTTTTACCACTTCATTACAAGAAAACGGCCCGGCAGTGCTGCCGGCAGATCTTTGCCAAAAACTAGTCAGGTCGATTCCCAACCAATATTTTTCGAACAAATTTTGAATTTTCAAAATCGATTCAGAATTGCGGGCTAAAACGTGAACAAAAATTTTTTCACTTTTCTGCTATTTACCAAGAAACGGTTAGGCCGATCGTCGCACAAAATTGACGAACCCTAGTCCTCATCGAGATACATAAAATGGCTTTTAAACTTTTGAAATCGGTGCAGCCGTTTTTGAGAAAAACGACGATTTTCGGCAAAAAATCTGTTCACGCACACGCACACACATACTTTTTTCCAAGTCTCATTCGATTCAGAATGGCTTAAAACGTCGAGAAAATATAAAATTATCGAATCGGATTTCTTCTTCGGGAAATTAATAACATTCATTACTTATTGTTAGTTATTTTCAAATGTAAGTCGTAGATAAGGAAAAGGTAATAATAGATATTCATGACAATATTATGTTAATAATGATTTTTGAAATGTTTAAATATTTGCATTTTCTATCTTTTCTACATATTTCATAAGATTATTATTTAGAAATCGGTATCTTGAACAAGTTATTTACAGGTAAAAATATAGCTCTAGTTCATAGTAAGCTTCCTCGTTAGATTAATTATTGAATATTATTTAGGTAAAAAAGCGTTTATCTTTTTCAGCAACCATTTGTATCCTATTGCGTCAAGATGGCACCAGCGATTTGAACACAATGATATTGGTAAACTTTTGTGTATCAAATATTTAAAAATAATCATTAATTGTATAGCAATAGATTAGTAACCCAAAGTATATGGACTGAAATAAGTGCACCATAATAAACATCTAGAAGTA